CTGTGATTTCAATAAATATAAAAAGTAATAATTATTCGTAAGTACACAGCACTTCTTCATTTCGTTACTGAAGAAAACTGGCGTACAGGAACGATAAAGTATTTCTTTGATAATATTCAATGAAATTAGGAGGAATTTTTCTTTTCTTTTTTTTTTTTTTTCAGGTGCACGGGAAGTTTTTAAAAGCAAGAGAACGGAAAACATATTGAAGTTATTCAAGAAAAGTTCTCGCCTGGGCCAAGGAAATATGATGTTTTGTCATTTGCATCAGATTTTGGGAACATCCGGCTTTTTGCTTCCCAGTCATCTCTTAAATTCTTAATTATAGTTTTGTTGTTTTTTTTTTTCAAATCGTTATCTCTACTTAATAGTAGAGTTTCTCATATTTTCTAACACCCAGTAACTCCCTTGCGTCATAGTGGTTTCATTACCTTGCTTGAGGTGAAATGATTAAAAAAAATGGGTCGAGCCAAAGGCTTTTCAGCATCTCCTACAAAAGCTTGAGTATTGAGTTTGTTTATAACAACATGGCGGAAATATTTTTTTTATGTTTATTCGTAACTATTAAATGGAATGTGCAGTAAATCACGCCATGTTAATTAGAAAAAATAATTTACAGATTTTTTTTTAATTATACAGAAACACATACACATATATTTATCCATATATTTACTGATACACATACATCTATTTATTTGCAAACACACATGAAAACATTTATAAATCTACCATTCGTCCGTGCATTGAATATTGCTACCATATCTGGTCGGTTACTCTGGTTATATAGCGATTTAATAAGCGTAGCTTAGTTGTGGCAGATGGCTGAAACTTTGGAGCCCTCAGTGAGGATTGAACTTAGTTGTAAGTAATCTAGCAAGACAAGCTTGCTAACTATGGTATATATCGAGACAAAATATGGATTTTGTTTCTATACACCGGTGTAGCGGGCACTTCCACGTAGTGTAATGTATAATTTTTCTTTAAATCATTTAACCCCAAGCAAGGTGATGATGCCACTAAGACGTAAGGGATTACTGAGAATGGAAAAAAAAATTTAGAAGATTTTAGTTTAGTGATGAGAAAGGGAAATAGGGAAATAATAGAACAGGAAGGACAAAAAAAAAAAAAACGTCAAAATACGATTACCGTATTTGACGACATAAAGGCGCACTTCTTTCTTACTAAAAATATCTTTTAAAATTCCCTTGCGTCTTGTATGTCATACGTAGGTTTACTAATTTTACTAATTACTAATTTTTTTCTTGATTTATTCTGCTGAAATTGGAGGTGCGACTTATACACCCGTGCGTGTTATATGCCGTCAGATACGGTAAATTAAAAGTAATTTTGAAATGGCACCGGTTATATTTTCCGCAATATTAACCTGGGATCATTCTCTATTGTTGCGTGTAAGAAAGAATTCTACCATTTTGTTAAAATACCATTTAAACTAAAGTAAACGAAAATATCTAAAGACAGATCTCATGAAACAAAAGAAAGGAGAAGCAATTCACTAACAACCTTATCTATCCAACTTACTAACGTGTTCTTTTATTGTGTTAACACGAGTCATGGTCGCTTATTGGTGTTGAGTCAGGGCGCCTTTTTAACATAATGGTATATCTCATCTCTAAAAAGAGAAGATAAACTTGTGTTAGCGATTAAGATACATAGATATGTATATAAGGGCGTATCCTAAAGATTTGGGGCCGACACAAAAAAAAAATTCCTAACATCTAATAAAGTCTGATGTTTCATCAGATTGTGGGAAATGTGTCTGGCCGAGAACTTTTCAACACACACACTCGTATATACACATATTTCATTTTATCAATTCTCCCCAAGCAAAACAATAATACCACTAAGACGCAAGGGGTTACTAGGAGTGAAAGAGAATTTTTAAAAAAATTTAGAAGGAACCGGAAACCCAATCCTAAACAGGGAATAAGTGATAGACTTGTACTCCTCTTCAATAGGATCGAGGAGGAATCTGAACCGAACGATAGGCAAATCTATCTATTCTTATTATGCAGTTATTTATAAACGCATAGACACACATCCTTTGAAAGCGTATGGCTTTGGACGTCTGGACCCTACCAAATAATAATAAAAATCTCTTGTATAACTTGGATAACCGTATTTAAGTAGACGATCCGTTTATTTTAAGCAGTATTTATTGCATCTACCGGACTGCGTAAACGAGAAAACTTTAAAAAAAGAGAAATACGTCTTCTGTCAGGATTCGAACCTGCGTCCCACGTCACTGAGCCGTAACGGATTAGATTGTGGTTTCTCCTGCAAAGGGGGATTCAAGTTCGAATTATTCTTAAGCTTTCTGGATGTACGCAGGCCGATAGACGAAATTATACATCAATCCACTACAAGCAAATCGACGATAATGCCACTAAGACGCAAGTGGCTACTGGATGTGAAAGACTTCGAAGGAAAAAAACCGGATTATAAGGAACCGGAAATCCAATCTTAAAAAGAAAAGAAGGGATAAATCTCTGTTGAAAAGACATGGGAGGAATGATTATATATATATATATATATATATATATATATATATATATATATGTGGTCCGGTGGAGTAATGGATAGCGGCTAGAATTGAGGTATCGGAGTTTATTACATTGATTACCTTGGAACTGGGTTATATAGCCTTGGATGGCAACTGGTCTAGGAGAAGGACAACTCTGAATTCAAAACCTGCGGAGGGTCGTTTGGGGACCTTGTGGCATGTACTGCGCCAGGTCTCTGTATTCGGCCCTTCAAAAAGTGTGGATGGTTCTGCACGAAACCTTCACCACTATAATCAAATTATATGTACTGGTGTCTGGCTGTCGGTTCCAAGGAACAGAGCGGCTTGACCCTCATCGGTCGAATACGACAGGAAAGTCCATTATATATATATATATATATATATATATATATATATAGATAGATAGAGAGAGAGAGAGAGAGACTATATAATATATATATATATATATATATATATATATATGGCCGCATACATAATTCCGTAAAATCCTTGTAGAAAACACTACTATACTTAAACATGAAAACAATGAACAAAAGCTAAAAATTCTTGAAGCTATTTACATAAAACAGTTGAAACCTAACCTGAACAAAATAAACTATGAAATCTACACAAATATTCTTAAATGTCTATAATTGGTAACAGAAGCCATTGGTTTATACCAATGGCTTCCCATACTTAATACTTCTCGAATTCACTCTCGCGTGATCATGTGTGAGCTGCGGTGCGATTTTCGCTCTCAGCGTCTTATATGCACGCGTTTATCGTTGCTTGGAAATCATCCATGTAAAGAATAACAGACTATCATCACATTCTTGTCCGTGTATTGCTTAATATATTGTACAGTAATTGACATCTTTGATAATGGCTTATGTAAGCCGAAAGCTTAGATTGGATTAAAAAATATGGATCAATATTGTGATTTTCTTTCTTCGTTTAATGATAATGTTATTAAGCTTATCAGACGTTATGAAAAGAATTTACATAAAATAAATAGACAACACTTGTCTATATTATTTAATGAAACATGTGTGTGTATATATATATATATATATATATATATATATATATATATATATATATAGTGTGTATGTGTGTGTGTGTGTGTATGTCTATGGGGAGAAACAATATATTCACGTGAGAATAGACCACCCCACACTATTCTCTATAAATCGCGTTTACATGTCGATTGTTTTGTCAAGGATTGCATATGTTGGAATAGAGACGCCTCTTTATATCTTTGTATTATTTAATTATTGTTTCTAAAACATCAACTTAACATAACATATGAGATAAAACAAGTTATAGCCACAGCGAATAAAATACCTGATCATTGTTCTCATTGATTATGAACAAACAATGGTCTTAAACGTTTGGTAGTAATAAAGGTTTTTGTAAAGATCCCCAAGGTTGTTGTTTTCGCGGTCCAATCTATTAATAACTCCAGAACAGATGGGACATATTTATTCAGGCTGTTTCTGTTGTATGTCACAGTCATTTAGAAGATTCTGAACTTAAACAGTTTTCAAATATGCTTTTTATGACCATCCAAATAATAATTGGCCTTTTTTTTTTTTTTTTAGTACGAATGGGTTGGGGGATAGTTTCATACACTACTTGCTTTCTCAACAACGAACTCAACTGAAACGAACAGTCGAAGGTAAGACAGAAAAATTACATTCTAAAATACTTACAATATTTGATGACATAAAAGATCATCTATTTAAAATTAACATTACGGTATTTATTACGGAGTAAGGCTTCGTACAATTATTGGTAGCCTACGGCGTCTGAGTAAATATTGCCGACCGGATGTTATTTTGTGAGCCATTTTATGAGTGGGGTAAGAGGGCCTCTCCTATGGAATCTTATACAATACCTCTTTTGCTCTTTTTACATTATAAATTATAAACATATATAAACACACAAATACGTCGTGTATAGTATGTTTTGAAAAAGGTTACATCTAAAATTTGAGCAGTGGTTAGAGATAAGACAGATATAGAGGGACATGGTGGGGAGAAAGAGATTGTTGAAACAGAGAGAATTAAAAAGAGAGAGAGAAAAAATGTTGAGACAGAGAGAATTAAAGAGAGAGAGAGTGGAGACAGAGAGAATTAAAGCGAGAGAGAGTGGAGACAGAGAGAATTAAAGCGAGAGAGAGTGGAGACAGAGAGAATTAAAGCGAGAGAGAGTGGAGACAGAGAGAATTGAAGAGAGAGTGAGTGGAGACAGAGAGAATTGAAGGGAGAGAGAGAGTGGAGACAGAGAGGTAGAGACTGAGACAGAAATAGAGAGGTTGGGATTAATGTAGTTAGGTGATAGGGAGACGAAGAGGATTCATACCTTTCCCAAGGGTATTTGCACGTAAGTGGATATAACGAACGGAACGGGAATTGGAACTCGGATATCCGATTAACAATTCCGAGCCATTATCTATTACACCACCTGCACATCCAAGCTTACAACACCTTGTATTCGCAAATGGTCACTCCTCTAGGTACTGACCAGGCTCGACGTTGCTTAACTTCAGTGACCGTACAGGATCCGGTGTTTCAACGTGATATAGCCGGAAGGGGCCAGATATAAGCGTAAACGCCACTTATAAATTACGCACAGACGTGAAACGCTGAAGTTATAAAAATTCTAAATTTTATGGTTCTGGCGCCCGACTAATGAATAGTTTTAATTTAAATTCTAGCATTCCTATATTTTTAGCGTTTTCCTTCGGTCCTTTCGGGGGTCGGGGAAGTTCATGTAATTCTAAGCGCAAGACCCAGGGGCCTTCTCCTCCAGGCAGTATCATTCTTTCGGGAGCTTAGACAATTTTTCTACGGTACTGCCTGTAAACCCAATCTAAACTACGGCGTTTTCCCTTAATTCATAATTACAACCGATGTTTACATTTAGATCTCCTCACTCCGCCATATATATATATATATATATATATATATATATATATATATATATATATATATATATATATACACACACATATATGTATTTTGTGTGTATATATGTATGTATGTATGTATGTATATAAGAATATTACTTTAAGAGGACAAAACGCGTAAATCTTTCCCCATTATGTCAGTGAGCTACATAACATTGTTGTGGTATATAGCACTTAACAGATCACATTCTCCCGGTGCTTTAAATATCTATTTTCTTGTCGATAAGACGTCACACTGTCCAGTTATTATTGATATTTTCTCGCACAAGTCATTTTTTTTGTAGACTTTCTCTGATTGTCGAGTTGGAATCAAAATAACGGTTAATTTCTCAGCTCGTACACGTCACCACTTTAAGTAGCGCACTTTTGATGACGTCATTCATTTACCCAGACCAAAGCATGAATTATCGCAGTGCTACCGACAGTCTAATTAAGATGCTTGCCAGAGAAATTATTGATTGCTTGTCGGGAGAAAGTGGTTCTTAGCTTAATGTATTAATACTCAATGTTGGATTTTTTTTTTTTTTTTGACTTATTCAAAAATTAAAAAAGAAAACGTCAATAATAGACGCAGGTGAGGTAGTCAGTTTAAGTGTCCATAACAAAGATCATTTTACTATTTAAGTAACTAAAGCATAATTATCAGTAGGGATGTCTTTCTATAGATCTGGATGCCTCGTTGGTTGGAGTCAAGAATACCCCGCGGAGTAAATCCACCCAAAATAGGGGCCATCTCTTTGTCATACTTATGTCTACCTTTTTGATTCCGGTGCAAAACTGATCTATATCTGTATTTTTCTTTTCATATATTTTTTTTTTTTTTTTTTTGGCTCTTACAAATCTGATCTACGCCTTCTTCACGCGCAAATCGAACCTATGTCTTTTTGATTCTTATGTAAATCGAACCTATATCTACCATTCGGATACTTGTGTAAATCGAACACGTTTTTTGGTCTTCGTGCAAATCGAACCTATATTTATCTTTTTGACTTTGATGTAAATTTAACCTTTGTCTAGATTTTTGACTTCTACAAACCGTCCAAAATGAACTTGTATTGATCGTTTCGACTCGTGCAAATTGGATCTATATCTGATTTTTTTTTTATTTTCGTGCAAACCAGAACTATGTCTAGCTATGCCAGAATTCAGCATATATATATATATATATATATATATATATATATATATATATATATAGTAAACCAAACAAAGTTATCGAATTGGCGTAAACACTCTAACCTGCTGTAACTTAATTCCTTAAGTATGCAATTTTATTAGAATAAACTAAAACAAGCTTCGCTTGACAGCTTGAATCATGCAAAAAGAAGAAAAAAATTGAAGTTGAGTAAATGTTGAAAAGGGTTTGAGTGTGATAAGCTCCTTAGCTACTATGAATTTGTATTGTACTCGAGATGCAACGGTATGAAATCGCATATCCCGATTCTCACGAAGAAATTTATCTTATTAACGGTATGATCTTAAATACAACATAGCATATTTATATATGACACAAATATATTACAAAGACTCACAAACACACATAAAAAAGCGTAATAGTTTCATTTATATATTGCAATCATATTAGCCTCACATATAGAAATATTTATCTCTCACACACACGTCTTTCACATATACACACACGTAGATTAGTCCCACTTCCTTGTATCTCTTCTTATATATATATATATATATATATATATATATATACAACTACATATATCAGGTATATATATATATATATATATATATATATATATATATATTCTGAAATTGAAACCTTAATTTCCGTGCTTCATTTCTGTCATGTGGTTAATAATTAAGAAAGGTTTTTCTTACTGATCACATCGGTACCTTTCCGTTCGACTTTATTTTATTAGCCAATCTATCGATTTTTATATATATATATATATATATATATATATATATATATAGTGATAATATTGGTGGTCAATATATATATATATATATATATATATATCTCCAAGAGGATGGAATCCAGGTAGAGCTCAATGTCCAGGACAGATCAAGAATATAATATAAAGGTTTCAAACACTAATATTCCATGGTTATAATTTATTACATTAGAATCGCAATAAATTATAACCATGGCATATTAGTTTATATATTTGTTTACACATACCCTATATTTCAAAAGTTTGAGATTATCCCTACGAATTTTTAAATTTGGCGCAAAAAGTAGATTTGTACTTGAAATAAGAGAAAATTACTATAAACGGTTAAAAACGTGAGACCTAATTTTTTTTTTTTTGTCATAAGATTTCTAAAAAAAAAAAAAAAAAAACATCATTAAATTTTACTCTCGTCAAAATATCCTCCTTTAGCCGTGATTACTGCAGCACAAGTTTTTGGCATTCATTGCAAAAGTTTCACAATATATAAGTTTGATAATTAATTCCATTCTTTTTTCAATGACTAAGAGATTTTTTTTTAATTTTCTTTCATTCGCCTGTCAAGTTCCTCAATACTAATTCTGGGAGTTGTTCCAAGCGTTTGAACTGTAGTGTATATGTACCTCTCTTACATATACATTAGTCTCAGAAATGCATAAATATTATATATATATATATATATTATAAATTACTATCCCGTATACACACAAATACATATATAAATTGCATGTGTATATGTGCATACAAGACACTGGCGTGTGTATGATTCACACTTAAAATTGATTAAAGTAAACATGAATTTCTGGAAGAATAAAATCAATGGACTTAAAATCTATTTGTTCACTTAATCCCAACTTATTTCGAACGAACCACTCTTACGAGGATAAGGTTTTAATTGACGCCTAACATTTTTAGAGGGAGGCAGGATCGGGAGGTGGAAAATTAAAACGAAAAGAAAATATTATTTACATCAACAAGCTTTACATATCGAAAAAGTTATAAACTCTTTTATTTGTCAGTCTTGCTGGAAACAAAACGCTTCTGTTGTTAATGTAAAAAAAAAAAAATGGCTACTTTATTCAAACTTTGTCTTAGAACACCCAAGTTGCACATAGAAATACAAAAACAAAATGTATTTCTCGGCGTATAATACGCACACGATTTGTCAAGGGACAATTAGGAAAAAAAATGAATCGATTTCCTTTCGATTCATGAACCCACATCTAGTAACAGTTTTGGCAACAGCTTGTGGTAGAGAGAGCTGCTATCTTGATGGTGAGCATGAATAATAATAATTTTATATATATATATATATATATATATATATATATATATATATATATATATATATATAACAGAATATTCAAGCAAGAAATATGCAGAAATAGGTTTCACTATTTGCATCACTGCTACGTGTTACGGTATTTGCATCACTCAAAAATTAAAACGAAAAGTGGGGGGGGATATTTTGTAAGCAAAATATGGCTAAAAATACAATTGTCAGAGTTGACTATGGAAATAAAAATCTTTTTGTTGCTACTCCATGGTAGGCGAAATTAGTTATGGGAGAGTGGTTTGATCAAATGCTCTCACGGCCTCTTTTCTAATTTACCGGCTATTATCGTAATTCCGCAGAGCGGGCCGTGTTACGATCGCATTTGAGCTTCATCAATAGTTCTTCGGGGTCAAGTATGTCCAATTGCACCATCTAGCTTCAGAACACTTGACCTCTCTAGCATTGCAGTAAAGTTAGGGCTATCCCTAATGTTCGTAGCGTTCCAAATAGCAAGAGCGGAAAAAAATAAAACTATTTGGTGATCTCTTCCGCATATGATAAGCATTTTACACTTTTTTGCTAAATGTTCTTTCAATAAAAGGCCCAAGAGTCAGTCAAGGTAAACTTAGTCCTGATGAGGTTAAGATTATTGTGATCGGAGAAGCATCCTTTCAGAGGTTTGTTCCACAACGTAGCCGTTCTCAGGAAGTAGCTGTTTGAGTGGAACTTCCTTCTTATCGATGGAATACGTACCACATTGAAAGTGGACTTGTGGAACTTCCTTCTTATCGATGGAATATGTACCACTTTGTAAGTCAAAAGATGTATAACTACCATCATTTACTGAAGTTTTCTGAAAATATAACGTACCGCTATTTAATATGTCCAACTCTGTAAGACGAACATAGGATTCTGCATTAGATATATTCAGGAACAAAAGTAACTTGTTTTTCTTTGAATTTGTACTGTCCGATTTCTCCGTAAGTGGGGCGGGGTGAAAGAGATAGAGAGAGAATATAATCTTGTCTCAAATTAAACTAAGAATTTTAGACAAGTGACATCCAGGAATAAGTTTCAATGTATATGGTTTTAGAAGCTCGACCTGTTCCCTTACCGCAAAATATGACCACTAGAGTACTTTATTTTTTTAAGTAGACTTTGGGCTGGGAGTGGAGACTTTAAAATTATATAGTGGGAAATACAGTTACAAATATGAAAACCCAAAACTGAAACTTTAAAATATATTTGAAAGGAATGTTTAAAGTTTAACAAATAAAAATACTTTTTTTTTTTGAACCAACAAATAGTAATGGATGTAATTTTAAACAGTGGTTGCTCCTATCTACATTTCCACTTTCACTTATTCAATTATAATTTTCCCAATCGTGTTCCCAGAGTTCAAAAATTCGATGCTGATTATTCCGGTATGCCAAAT